ACATTCATCACCGTTACGTTTCCGCGCCTGATTTTGTTACTTCGTTGATGGAGTTCGCAGACTTTCGTGGGACACGGACGCGTGCTCTCGCATGTGACTCGAACGACCTCGCGTTTGATGAACGAGTTCTTCATTCCATCGACCATCACGTTATTCGCAAGTCATCATTTCAACATATTCATCTGCCACGTGCCATCATTAAAACCCCATAACAAAATAGTAGAGGGGGGGCCCTTTTGATCAAAGCCCCTCCTGAAAAAAAAGGGTCCCTTTTTGGACGACGAGACATCTAGTCGCAAGTGCGCACAACTTCGCGCTGAACGAAACGAGAAAAACAAAAAGTTCCCTCCCATTGGCCAAATCATAACGCATGCGCGGTCTATAGAGAGAATGTGCACGCAATACAAAAGTATGAAATTCCCACGTTGGCAGCCCGTCGCACAGCGTGTCGCACGATTGCGCGACAAGGGTGGCGAAAGGCTGTCGGGAACAAGGGGGTCCGTCTTGAATTTCAAGAAGGACCCCCCTTTGCTATTCCTACACGTCCTTCACTCCATGCGATCTGCCATAGCCCAACACTCTGACTTCTAGCAGTGTAATATCCGCACCACTCGGGACATAGCGAACATCAGACTTTATCCAGACAAAACGGGTTTCGAAAGGGTCCTAGGAACAAGGGCGGACAAGAGATACGCTACACCCTGCGAGACGGTCTCGATCCTCCCGCACCCCGCTTCCCTCTCCCATTTCCCGTTGCTTCCCGCTTCCAGGCTCGTGCTTATCGCAAGCCGCTGCCGCTGCAACCAGCCACCCGCTTCCCACTTCCCACTTCCCGCGTCCCACTGGCCGCTGCCTACCACTTGCCGCGCCCCATTCCATCCAAGCCAGCTCCCCGCTTCCCGCGTTCCGCACCACGCTCCCGCTCGCCGCTTCCTACTCCCCGCGTTTCGCATCTCTCATCCTGCTCCTAGCTTCCCGCCTGCCTCAGGTTTCCCGCTGCCTCCGCTTCCCGCTCCCCGCGTTCCGCGTTCCGCATCCCGCTTCCCGCTACCCGCGTCCCGCTTCCCTCTTCCCGCCTCCTACTTCCCGATTGCTTCTCCCAGTTTTCCGCTTTCCGCTCCCTCTTGCCGCGTCCCCCTTCCCGCTCCGCGCTTCCCACTTTCGTCTCACTCTCACGCCGCCCGTCCCTCTCCCTCTCACGCCGCCCGTCAAACTCACCTCCGCTCCCACCCCCCTATTGTTCCCTTCCTAGTCTCTCACGGTTTGCGTGTAGTCCGTTGCTCCTCCTCCGCCTCCGTGCATAGGAAGAGGGAAAGAGGGAAGCAGGGGGAAGAGGGAAGCAAGGAGAGCCGGGAAGTAAGGGGGAGTGGGAAACAGGGGGAAGAGGGAAGCAGGGGGAAGAGGGAAGCAGGGGGAAGAGGGAAGCAGGGGGAAGAGGGAAGCAGGGGGAAGAGGGAAGCAGGGGAAAGAGGGAAGCAGGAGGAAGAGGGAAGCAGGGGGAAGAGGGAAGCAGGGGGAAGAGGGAAGCAGGGGAAAGAGGGAAGCAGGGGGAAGAGGGAAGCAGGAGGAAGAGGGAAGCAGGAGGAAGCGGGACGCCGGCTCCCCTGCTCTCACGCCTCGCGTTCATTCCCTCCACTCCCCCTCCCCTACTCGTTTACCTCGATCCCTTCCATGCTCTCACGCCACTCCCCCTGCTCTCACGCCTTTCCCCCTCCCCTGCTCGTTTACCTCGATCCCTTCCATGCTCTCACGCCACTCCCCTTCCCCTGCTCTCACTCCACTCCCCCTGCTCTCACGCCGCCCCCCCTACTCTCACACCACTCCCCCTCCCCTGCTCTCACGCCTTTCCCCCTCCCCTACTCGTTTACCTCGATCCCTCCCATGCTCTCATGCCACTCCCCCTCCCCTGCTCTCACTCCACTCCCCCTCCCCTGCTCTCGCGCCACTCCCCCTCCCCTGCTCTCACGCCACTCCCCCTCCCCTGCTCTCACGCCTTTCCCCCTCCCCTGCTCTCACGCCTTTCCCCCTCCCCTGCTCTCACGCCACTCCCCCTCCCCTGCTCTCACGCCACTCCCCCTCCCCTGCTCTCGCGCCACTCCCCCTCCCCTGCTCTCGTGCCACTCCCCCTCCCCTGCTCTCACGCCACTCCCCCTCCCCTGCTCTCACGCCACTCCCCCTCCCCTGCTCTCATGCCACTCCCCCTCCCCTGCTCTCACGCCACTCCCCCTCCCGTGCGCTCCCACCTCTCTTCCTTCCCCGCTCTCCCTCCTCCCCCCTCCCCCACTCCCCTTCTTTCACTCCTCACTGTCTTCGTTGCTCTCACTCCTTTCCCCCTCCCCTAATCTAACCCCTCTCTCCCTCCCTGCTCTCCCTCCTCTCTCCCTCCGGAGGTGAGCCTCGCTCTCTTCCCTGCTGCTTTGCCTCCACCCCTTCCTTGCTCTCACTCCTCACGAGGCTCTCATAAGCGGGAAGCAGGGGGAAGGGAGGAAGCGGGAAGCGGGGGTCAGTGGGAGGCGGGAGGCGGGAAGCGAAAAGCGAGAGAACGCGAGGAGCGGGAAACGAGGGCCAGCGGGAAGCGTGGGAACGCGCAAGAAGCAGGAAGCTGGAGGCGGGAAGTAAGGGAAAGCGGGAAGCGGGAAGCGCGGGAAAGCGGCAAGCGGGAAACAAGGGAAAGCGGGAAGTGGAAACGAGGGAAAGCGGGAAGCGGGACGAAGCGGAACCTTCATCCTTTATTCCTTTCTTTTATTTCTTGCTCTATATCGCCCAGGCTAGACTACGCTCGCGAGGAACTCTAGTGTTAGCCAGATACGTGTCTAAAGTTGAACTCGCCTGGGTCTTAGCTTACAAATCGATGCCAACTCTTTTCCTTCTGTTTCGGGTATCAAGGGATGAGGATATGGGTTATATTTGCGAAGGTCTGTTTGCCTTCGACCAATCACGTGTTCCCTTTTACAGCCACATCGTCATTGTTTAGTTTTGTCAGGGTGGATGGGGTTACCCTCTTTATAGCGCTCCGAAATTGCTGGCAAAATCGCTCGCGCCTTTTTTTTTTGCCATTTACGTGGCTATGCGATGTTGGCTGTCCCATTCCAAGATCCTCGTTCCTCGTGGAGCCGAAGCGCATCCACGCCCGCTTTGATGCCCCCGTTCTATTGGCTGCTTGGGTTTTCATGCGACTCTGGGTCTCGTCGCATGACTTGCCCAAGCCCGAAACGTAATTTTATGAGCCATCATTGCATGAACGGGGTATTCCATACCATTTCGAAACCTGCCTTGCCCCCAAACTATCCCCTCTATGTTCCAACCCAACCCCTCTGGCGTCTGGGAGGGGGCTCCATCAAGTGGGGTCCCAGCTTGATAACCCCTCTGCTACTTTGCTGTGGGGTTTTAATCAACAGCGTTCCTGTTTACTGTCAAAGAGGGGTTTTCGCCAGTACCCATTCGGTCAGCTGAATTATTCAACCACCTTCGACGGCTGAAATTAAAAGCGATCGTTTCGACGCTTTCTGACTATCGATTGCAATTCGACCTCAAGACCCTGTCAGGCCGGCGTAATCATTACGCTCGTCACAGGGCTGAAGACTTACAATCACATGGGGGATTACTTGTTATGACTGTTCAGCCTCGATAAAGGGAGTGCCTTCCTTTAGAAGATGGGAGAGTGTAAGGAATTACGATTCCTTACTGGGGCTCGCTACAGCGAGTACACGCGAACAATTCACGTCCGCAGGCTCGGCCCTTGGTTCTCGCGCCAAACCAGCCCCCGTCGGCCTTTTCGGCCCCAACCTGATCCCGAGTCGCCCGAACCTATTTTGACCCCGTCACCCTTGGGACTGTCGAGCCCTTGACTGGTACAACCCTCGACATTCAACCCTGGTCAACACACCTATATATTGCCCATGCCTCATTATTCTGTAAAACATTGTAATCACGCTCCCCTATTGTATTCTGCGCTATACTCTGAGTTATAATTCATAACACTCGGATCATCTTTCTGTACTCGATAGGCAGTGACTCAGTTGCACTACATGCAGGCACAATAACACGACTGAACAACTACGCGAACCTCCACAAGAACGCAATGTGGCAGCGTTCACACGGCGGGTGTTCAGCCAACCCAATCATAGCAGCCTGAAGTACAGCTTCACGACGCGAGGTTTCGCTGGCAACATCCTTTGACAACTTCGGGATCGTGGATGATCTGCGATCCTCTGTGGGCAAGAAAGATCTCGTTGATCATTTTCCCTACAAGGCTCATTCATTTTCTTGTAGATTCGATTCTTCGTTGAACGCGTTGGCGCCTCGCGAGAGTCCACGACTGCGCCAGCACGATAGCCAGCCTCTGCGGGGCAACATCATGACTGTCAACAAACTCAACAGTGCATAACTAGCAACTCATGATGCTGTTGCTAAGCTGGGATATCACCAAAGCTTGCGCGGCCAGCTGGGATTCAGACGCAATCCAATGCCGACAACTGCGTTCGCGTTGTGATGAGTGCCTGATGGTGGCGAAAGGCAGGCGAAGATATTTCGTCAGCTGTTCGCTGATCCATTGCCACAGCTGCTGGGGTGATTTGACTTCGAGTAACTCCGCCACGTCACATCAACTTAGGTAAGTGACGAGTTGAGCTTGTAAAATTTCCCTCACCACACTGCCAAGATGGGGCACAGTGATTTACAGAACCCGGTGGCAAAACAGTTGTGTGGTGCACTCAGTGGTCTACGCAGGAAGGATGTGAATGATGGGTGGCATAGTTCCCAAAGCGGCGCATGTATCACCACTTTACAGTGGCCTTCATGATCGCAGGTCTCATGACAGGTGATGCCCGCTCACACAGGCTGTCCCTCCCTCAGTGGAATATCGAAGCAACGCGCAAAGCACCGTCCCAAACCAACGTGACTCTCTCTCGAGAGAAGCAACTACCGTAGTGGCTTTGACGTTGAACGAGCTCATATCAGCCTAAATAGCACAAATAGCCAGCCTCTGCAATTTCCAGCAACACATTGCATCGTCAGTTCAGAGTTCACGCAGGCTAGGTGCTGCCTTCCGCCCTCGCGAAAGCAGTTGAGCACTTGACAGTCGCATTCTCAAGTTACACGCATCGCGTCGCTCGAGTAGTAGCGGGTTAGCTTCGAAGTTCCCGTCTAGGTCGGCATGGCCAAGAAAGAAGAGTGTGAAACGTTTCAGACGACCAGTTTCAACGTAGACTTCCCCTCCCCCCCCCCGAAACGCCTATGCATTCGATCATCAGAAGCGTTATTCGGTAGTAAAGCTTGGACGAGGACGCAACCCCTTGTCGACCTCAACGCGCTTCCATGCGAAGCGGCGATCCCCCCCATGTCGACAACGTCCGTCCCATCGCTCGGCGATCTCGGAGAAGACTTGTTACTCCACATCTTGCAACTCGCGCAGCCCACGGCGTGGGACCTCTCTCGTTTCGCGTGCGTGAACCGCTCGTGGCGAAACCTCTGTTACAACCCGATTTTCTGGACTAAGCTTCGCATCGGCCCGGGGAGCATGCGAGCCGGTGTGGAGCAGCTCGCATCGCGATGCGCGCATTTGACGGAACTGCACATCGACGACCCGCGGTGCGAGCTACACGTGCTGCACCCGATCATCATGGCGTGCGGCCCGTCGCTTCGCCGCGTTGTCATCGACTGCGATCGCGATGACACGAGCCGCAACGAGGCGTCAATCTGCAGCGTGCTCTGGATAGTAAGGTGAGGAATTTGAACGTCCTTCGTGTCCTTTCGTCTGTCGGGTTCGTCCTGTTTTGCTGTTCGAGCTTTCCGCGGCACCAGGTGGAGATAACAAGCACCAAGAACGCGTCTCACCAGACGCCGCCGCTGCTGATAGTCGCCACATTACTCCCGAACCTATCTGGAACAATGTCTCACTCGCTTTCTCTCTCGCTCTCTCCCCCGCTGTTCTCTCCAAATGTGCAGTCTTTACTGTCTTAACGTCGAAAGCGTCGAGCTCGTATCCAACGGCGAAAAGGGGAACTTCAACTACCTCGAAAATAAAGCCATGTGGTACCTAACGTCGGGATTCCGCCGAGTTCGCAGTTTCGCATGCCTGTGCAAAAACAGCCTGACGAAACAGGCAATTTATCTGATGGTTATCGCTTGGCGAGAACTCGCGTATTTGCGAATCCACTGTGGCGCGCTCGCGAAAGACGACCTGATGGCCTTGCGAAAGTGTTACGCGTTGCGAGTGCTGGAGCTGATCGGCGGAAACCTTCGCCAGCTTTTTGGCGAAAACAGTGTGGCGACAGATGCAGTTATGCACCGGGACCTGAATACCATCGCGTTGACGAACATGGTGTGCGACGTTGACGACATTGCGAAATTATCGATGCTTCTGCCGAGCCTACAGCGGATCATCATTCGAAAGTCCTCCCTAGCGACCTCCGCGGGTGACGACGTCGCGACGAAGGCAAGAGCTGTCGCAAGCCTTCGCGAATGGCTCGCAGCGCGCAAGAACATTATGCTGGTCATCGACGAGTGAAGAGCAGCGGCGCTACTTATTACTCTCGCGCAACGCACTGTCCCTACTAAGAAACAGTCCCAAGAGGTTGTAGAGACGGCTTCGACATTGCAGGCGACACAGACTAGCTGAGGTAGCCAAAACGGTGGCTGATGATTTGACAGGCAGACTGTGGTGGGTGCAGCTCGACTGCCTGCCGAGGTCGGTGGAAAATAGAAAGTTCTGCAACTTCTGTATACTCGTCTGTATCTATTCTTTGGAGGCATTAACCTCCGGTACCAAATTATAATACTATCGATCATGTGCATTGATTATGAACACGATTACACTCATAAGTCCCCACTCAAACCAAACCAGAGAGACCATCTACTGCATTTCCTTACCAGCTCTAACATAACAGAATTGCACAATGGCACCGCCCTCCTTAGCTTCTGGACATCACGAAGTGCATGCATACCCTCCCCCACCCCCCCCTCCCCACTCCCCACCCCCCACCCCTCCCCCCCAGTGTAGTCTTAGAATTCCATTCATGTGCATGCAACAGGTTTTCTACTGATAGGAAAACCAGCTTGGCCATGTCTACACCTCCTTTGCCAGCCTGGCAGCAAGCCCCACGTAGCTGGCCGGCGTCATTTGTCTCATCTGCTGCTGCGCCTCATTGGGCACCTCGCCCTCCAGCGAATCGATGAGCGCAATCAGATCGGATTGCGACACCGACCTCCCCCTCGTCGCCTCCTTGAGGCGTTCATAGGCATTGGGAACTCCATAGCGCCGCATCACCTGGTTAGGGGGAGAGGGGGGAGGGGGGCGGGGAGGGGGAGGGGGAAGGGGGGAGGGGGAGGGGTGGGGTGGGGGGGGGGATTGGAAAGATGGGTGTTACTGTGACCTCCCCCTCGTTGCCTCCTTGGGAGCTCATACACATTGGGAACTCCATAGTGCTGCATCACCTGGTTAGGAGGGGGGGAGAAGGGGAGGTGGGAGGATGGGACAGCAGGAGAATGGGAGGGCCGAGTCTTCTTGCGATCCACCCCTCCACGGCGCCTCGTATTGAGGCGCTCAGAGGCATTGGGAACTCCGTAGCGCCGCATGAGCTGGTAATCTGGGGAAAAGTGTGGGGAGTGGGAAGGGGGGAAGGGGGGAAGGAAGGAATATCAGGAAGACTGGGGGATGGTCTCGCTGGGAGTCTGTTTTTGAGGCGCCTCAAAAACAGTGCGGGGAGAGGGACGGGGTGAAGGGGGGAGTATCAGGAGGGTTGGGGGATTGTCTCATTGGGTTGGGATTCCCACACACACACGTCCTATCACAGCAAACTGTCTGGATAAGCATGGGCTCGGCCAGCAACTCCATCCCACGCGTCGTTCAGGTCCCACACATCGGCAATACTGATTTTGAGTACCATCAGTGGCTGTACTCAAAAGCACACGGGTACAGGTCCAGCCACTATAGAGCAGGCTCTAAAGTCTCTCCTCCCTTCGATACCCCTACCCTCTCTCCCTCGTACACCTCAATCACTCACGGTCTGAATGGGCTCTGCCAGCACCTCCCATGAAGCATCCAGGTCCGCTTCGTATCATCAAGCATCCAGGTCCGCTTCGTATCATCAAGCATCCAGGTCCGCTTCGTATCATCAAGCATCTCCCCAGAGTCTCCTCCCCGTGCCCCACTGCCACCCTCATCCCCCCTCTCCACAAGTGAGGAGTCTGTTTCTCCTACTTGCGAACCCGTCTACTGACGCCGCGCTCACTGGAAGATGTCCAAAGATCTCCTCCCCATGCCCCACTGCCACGCTCATCCCCCCTCTCCACAACCCTGTCTCCCCCCTCAGCACTCACGGTCTGAATGGGCTCTGCCAGCACCTCCCACGCGTCGTTGAGGTCCGCCTCGATCTTCACCGCATCCAGATCCAGCTTCCTCAGCCCCTTGGCCGTGCTGCTGTAGGAAATGAGCGAGTGCGCCAGCCCCACGCCCAGGTTGCGGAGGACGGTTGAGTCGGTGAGATCCCTCTGAGAAATGGGAGAGGCGAGTCGAATTCAAGGGTGGGAGGAGGGAAGCAAGGGTCACTTCAGATCCAGCTTTGGGAGCACCTTGGCCGTGCTGCTGTGCGGTATGAGGGCGTGCGCCAGCCCCACGCCCAGGTTGCGCAGCACCGTTGAGTCTGTCAGGTCACGCTGGGGAGAGGGAGGGAGGGAGGGGAGGAGACTTTTGAGTCGACTCAAAAGTCACCTCGCTGGGGAGAGGGAGGGAGGGAGGGAGGGAGGGAGGGAGGGAGGGAGGGAGGGAGGGAGGGAGGGAGGGAGGGAGGGGAGGAGGGAGTGCGCTATGAGGGCGTGCGCCAGCCCCACGCCCAGACAGAGCAGCAGCGTTGAGTCTGTCAGGTCATGCTGGGGAGAGGAGAGAAAGGAGATACAAGAGGGGGGTTGAGGGGGAGAGGCAGAGCGAGATAGCATTTTCCCATCCACATTCACTCCCCCCACCCAACCAGTGCCAAACCAACAACATCCAGCCAGGCCCCCCCTACCAGCACCAAACCAGCTCTCTATCATACCCCCTACCAGCACCAAACCAGCTCTCTATCATACCCCCTACCAGCACCAAACCAGCTCTCTATCATACCCCCTACCAGCACCAAACCAGCTCTCTATCATACCCCCTACCAGCACCAAACCAGCTCTCTATCATACCCCCGACCAGCACCAAACCAGCTCTCTATCATACCCCCTACCAGCACCAAACCAGCTCTCTATCATACCCCCGACCAGCACCTCAAGCACACCTGCCAGCGGGAGATGGGCAGCTTGGCTGAGAGGTGCCCCATGATGGCGTTGGCGAGTCCCAGGTTGCCCTCGCTGTTCTCAAAGTCGATGGGGTTCACCTTGTGGGGCATGGTGGACGACCCGATCTCGCCCTTCACTGGGCGCTGGTGGGAGGGAGGGGAAAAGAAGGCCGCACAAGGGGAAAGGGAACAGGTGACATGCGCTTCCTCGACGTCCTCAAAGTCGATGGGGTTGACCGCGTGCGGCGAGGGGGAGGAGGCGATGTCGGCCTTCACAGGGCGCTGGTGGGAGGGCACGAGAAGACACAGAGGATACGGGGGGAAGAGGGGTGGGACGGTTGCAACCATTTGCTCTCGAAGTCAATTTTTGAGGCGCCTCAAAAACAGTTGCTCTCTAAGTCGATTCTTGAGGCGCCTCAAAAACAGTTGCTCTCAAAGTCAATTGGATTGACCGTGTGGGGAGGACCTTGTGCGGCGGACGGACCCAATCTCGTCCTTCACAGGGCGCTGCAAAAAAAAGGGGGGGTGGCGTGGGGAGGACGTTGGGGGGGTGGGAATGCGGACAAAAGGGTGCTGTCTTGGCTGATCCACCCCCCCCCCCCCCCCCCCCCCACTCAGCTGCCTTGGCTGATCCATTCCCCCCTCAACTCACCTGTCGGAAGTACCCCAGGGAGATGTACCCCCACAGGTCGCGGTCGAGATCGATGGTATGATGCAGCTCGATCTGAGTCACATACACACACAGTCGTCTCCCTCACTCCTTCCCCCGAGCCCATCCCCCCCCCAGCTCACCTGTCGGAAGTAGCCCAGGGAGATGTAGCCCCACAAATCCCGGTCGAGGTCGATGAGGATGGTGTTGAAGCGGCACACGGCGTCAAACAGCTCCGCCACGTAGTCATGTGGCTCGATCTGCGTCACATACGGGTTCAGCCGTAACCCCAGCCCAGTTACAAACTCCTCTGCAACGGCCGACCAATCGGCGTCCGGGTATGCCGCCACGTGCGCGTTGTAGTTGCCGACCGCGCCGGCCATCTTGCCCAGGATGTGGACGGCGGAGATCTGATCTCGCTGGGTTTGCAGCCGGGCGGCGAAGACGGCCAGCTCCTTGCCGACCGTTGTGGGGGAGGCGGTCTGGAGAAGAGGAGAGAATAGGGATAGGTACGAAAGAAACAAAACAGGGGGATGAAACGCAGTCATATATTGCTATGCCTTGTATTTACGGGTGTGTTTCATGCACATGGCGACCCAAGCAAGAATCACCTGATATGAGCTAGCATCAATTCTGCGACCTTGCAGGATAGCATGCATGGCTGGTCGGCATAGGTGTGCGCCATGTCCTTGAGAGTGGCGATCAGCCCGTCCATGGCGGGCAGCACCTCGCCCTGCACGGCTGCTGTCGCATGCTTGCCGCTGGCGTCTGAGGCATCTCATACTGGCTTAACTGGCCGTGGGTGCGTGACAGCATGGGCTGGTCGGCATAGGTGTGCGCCATGTCCTTGAGAGTGGCAATCGGCCCATCCAAGGCCGGCAGCACCTCGCTCTGCACGGCGGCTGACACCATGAGCCCGTGCCCTTCCCCCCTGCCTGTGGGCACCACCCATCCCTACCTGGCCGTGGGTGCGCGACAGCATGGGCTGGTCGGCATAGGTGTGCGCCATCTCCTTAAGGGTCGAGATGAGCCCGTCCATGGCGGGCAGCACCTCGCCCTGCACGGCGGCTGACAGCATGAGCCCGTGCGAGAGGTTGTTGATGTCCTCGGACGTGCACGCGAAGTGGAAGAACTCCAGGATCTGAAGAGCGGGTGGTGGAGAGCGGGGGGGGGAAGAAGAGCCAGGGAGCAGGGAGCAGGGAGTGGGGAGTGGGGAGTGGGGAGTGGGGAGTGGGGAGTGGGGAATGGGGAGTGGGGAGTGGGGATTGGGGAGGGGATGCGAGAGGTTGTTGATGTCGGACGTGCATGCAAAGTGGACGAACTCGAGGATCTGAGAGGTATTGGGGGAGGGGGGAACGAGGGGGGGGAGGAAGGTGGGGTGGAGGATGAGGGCATGGGGCAAGGGGAAAAGGGATGGAGGGATGGGAGAGGCGGTTAATGCCATGTGGGTCTGGGAGCATGCCAAGTGGAGGAACTCGAGAATGAGGAGGGGAGCGAGTGATGGGTGTGTCGCCGGGGTGTGCCCCTCAAACAACACACCGGGCTAATCCCTGGGTGTATTTCCCTGAGTCTTGAAGCGCTCCTCGGGGACATACTCCCACCCACCCACCCTCCCACCCACCCACCCTCCCGTGCACGCGACAGCATACTGTCATGTCAACTCACCAGAGAAATTTCCGGGTGCGCCTTGAAGCTGTCCTTGAGGAAGTACTCGACGGCCTTCACTCCGTGGTTCATCACTGCCTCCACTCGCCCATGCAAGCCCCATGTATCCCCCTCGCCCAAACCCCATGTATCCCCCTCGCCCAAACCCCATGTATCCCCCTCGCTCCACTGTCTGCCTCCCTCTATGCGCCCTTGCTGCAACTCACCGGGGCGATCTCGGGGTGCGCCTTGAACCTGTCCTTGAGGAAGTACTCGACGGCCTTCACATCGTGGTTCGTCACTGCCTCCACTCGCTTCACCTCCCTCGCATCCGCCTCGCTGAACCCTGCACACGTCAGCATACAGGACAGCATCCAGGACAGCATCCAGGTCAGCATCTAGGTCAGCATCCAGGTCGGCATCCAGGTCGGCATCTAGGTCAGCATCCAGGTCAGCATCCAGGTCAGCATCTAGGTCAGCATCCAGGTCAGCATCTAGGTCAGCATCCAGGTCAGCATCCAGGACAGTATGCACACGCACAGGTCAGTCAGGCCACTGCAGCATCAGCTGCCCCCCCAACTGTCCTCATTTGCCAGCTGAAGCAGAGTCAAGAAGGGCAAGCGCACGAGCTAAACTCCCCCCAGCAGCATCCCCCACTTCCCCCCTGGCCGTGACTGCCGCCACATTCTGCAGCCAGAACCACCCTCCCTCCCTGGCCTCCCATTGCGCCTGCCACCTTTTAGGCGCCTCGAAGCTCGTCTCATCACATCACTTTTGAGGCGCCTCAAAATCCACTCTCCCCGCCCTCCCATTGCGCCTGTTGCTCCGCCCGACCTTACCCACCTGCCACGACAGCGTCCAGGTCAGCATGCGCCTGGGGGGAGAGCGGCGGAACCTCCGCCACCTCTGGCATGCGCGACAGCTGTTGCAGCCACCGCACCTGGCACGGTGCGTAGGAGGGGGGGGGGGGGGGGGGAGGTTCAGGGTTTAGGGAGGAAGGATGGGAGAATATTGGGAGGGGCGGAAAGGGGTCCCAGTTGATAGCGCAGCTTATGGGGAGGGGGGAATAGGGGGGAGTAGGGGGGAATGGGGGGGAACAGGGGGGAATAGGGGGGAATAGGGGGAATAGGGGGGAATAGGGGGGAATAGGGGGGAATAGGGGGGAATAGGGGGCAATAGGGGGGAATAGGGGGCAATAGGGGGGAATAGGGGGGAATAGGGGGGAAGAGGTGGGCGGGAAGGGGAGGTGGGGAGGGGGAAGGAGGAAGGAGGAGGAAATGTGGGGAGAATGGGGAAACGAGGGGGGAATGGGGAAACGAGGGGGGAATGGGGAAACGAGGGGGGAATGGGGAAACGAGGGGGGAATGGGGAAACGAGGGGGGAATGGGGACACGAGGGGGGAGGGCAGAGTACTATTGCGCCATGATCAATACGCGTTCTTGCAGGGTGTTTTTGAGAATTCTCAACAACACCCTGCAAAATCAGGGGGAGGGCAGAGTAGTATAGCGCCATGATCAATACGCGTTCACTCTCTCCCACTCTACGTAATACAACCGCGCCCATTGCTTCTCATTCTCCCCGCGCTGTAATCACATACCTCCAGAAGCACGCGGAACCGGATCAGCCCGTATTTGCTGAAGATCCGCCGCAGCCGCTGCAGCGCGGGCAGGCGCCCGCTGCGCCCGCTCCATTGTTTGTCACTTTCGCCCGCGCTATAATGACATACCTCCACAAGAACGCGGAATCGAATGAGTCCGTATTCGCTGAAGATCCGCCGCAGCCGCTGCAGCGCGAGCAGCCGCCCGTAGCGCCCGTCGACGGGGGAGATGGCGGAGAGATGCGACAGGGGGAGCGGCTCCTCCTCCTCCGCCCCCGCGGCCCCCGCAGCCCCCGCCTGCGGCGCGCGCGACTCCGCGGATTGCGGAACGGCGGAGGGCGGAGCGGCATTGCGCACTTGGCGGGGTTTCCCCCCGCTGCTGCTGGCGGTGGCAGTGACTGCGCGGGTGCGTAATGGGAGTACGGGGATTGAGGTTGGTCGAACTGTGACTGTATCGCGGGAGGAAGTATAGGAGCGAAGGGACGGCGCGCTTGTGAGAAGCTGGCGGGAAGAAAGGGCCTCCATTGTGGGAGGTTCTTATAACGGGGGAAGGATGGGACGTAAGTTAGTGAATGGACAACGCGGTTCTTGCCGAGCACGGAAGGAAAGAGGAAAATCTGGAACAAAGGTAGTTATTCCTTGTTCCTTGTGTCGTCTTGTATCGCGTATTGCAGAATCTGTGTGCAGGTTTGGACGCAAATGTTAGGGAAGTTTTGGTGAAAAATGCAGTACGCGACTTTTACAACGGGTGCTTCTAACGCGTATTACGGTGCGCACGTGGCAGCCTGAGAGTGTTTCAGCGTTGCCGTGGCACCGCGCGATCCCTTCCTCTCGTCCACGACTTCACCAATCAACGCCCGTGTTATTATGACATGGTCTGTTTCTATTGGCTGAATCCCTTGGGCTTGTTACACATACTAATTTCCTTCGGGTATCAAGACATGTACTAGAACAACAATAACTGGAATTTGCAGTTACGAGTAGGGCGTGTCCCGCGTGTACGTTTCTTGCTCAATACCGTACTCAACCGTTTTAGAACGTTTTGCATTGTTTTGAATCAAAACGCATCGCACCCAACCGCAATCAAACGTACGCGAGGGACACGCCCTTACAACGACGGAAGTCTTTCCGCTGAGTTACGGATATTAGCTTCTGACGTTCTAAGTCATTCGCAGCGCCTCAGAACTCGAGTACTTTCCACGATCGCCATGGCTGCTGCGACTTTCTCCTCCGTGCGCACCGCACGTCTCCGACTATCGCGCACAGACGTCGCGCGGACGGCCTTGTGCCGCCCGGCATTCGCGGTGGCTGCTGGCGGCGCGTGCGGGCCGGCGGCGCCTCGTCGGATTGCTGCTGCTCCTTCTACTAGCTGCTCCGACGATGCCAGTACTAGTTTAGCCGTGCGGCGCTGCTGCGCCGCCGCGTCGCTGTCCATGACAGCGCGGCGTAACTCAGCGCCTTCCGGCGGTGATGGCTCTGCGCTCTCCAGTACCATCTTAGCGCGTGCGGCTTCTGCTCCCGCCAATGGCGCTGCACACTCGACTAGGAGGCTCCGGTTTTCTACTATAGCGGCCCAAGGTCAGAGATCCCCGACCGCCATCATCACTAGCCATTCTTGAGGCGCCTCAAAAATAGACTCCTCCAGGTCAGAGATCCCTCACCGCCATCATCACTAGCCATTCCTTCGTCCTCACTCGCCTCGCCACCTCCTCACACCCCTCCGCACCGCCCTGCCTTATCCCTCCTCCCGCCGCTCTCGCCTTGGCCAGTTTTTCCCCTTCGCTTCTTCGCACCCTCCCGCCCCGCCCTCTCCCCCGCCCTCTCCCCTCCTTTCCCCCCTCCTCTCTCCCCCATCCCCCCCCCCTTCTCTCCTCCTTTCCCCAACCCTCCCCTTCCTCCCCCCATTCATCCCCCCTTCTCCAGTACCCCCTCGCCCCTCTCTCCCTCTCTCCCCTCAGCAAGCCCCGGGCAAGCGGCGACGGCGAAGGAATCAGAGGACGACACGTGGCAGATCAAGCTGCTGTACGATGGCGACTGCCCAATCTGCATGAGAGAGGTGGGCTGATAGGGGATGGAAGGGGAAGGGGTGAGGATGGGTGGGTAGGGGTGAGGATGGGTGGGTAGGGGTGAGGATGGGTGGGTAGGGGTGAGGTTGATCAAGCTGCTGTACGATGGCGACTGCCCGATCTGCGTGAGAGAGGTGAGCTGAGAGGGGATGGTTGAAAAGGGGCGCAGCTGAAGGGGGAGGGGGTGTGGATGGGTGGGAATGGGTGTGGTTGTGCCATGGGGCAGATTCACAGCGGGGAGCATCAGGGAGCAACATTGATTACAGGCAGGCAGCGCGGCATGCTCTCTCCGTGTTAACATAGCGGCTGGGGGCTACGGTGTGGATGAGACACCCGCCTCCCGCCCCTCAGGTTGATGCCCTTCAAGCCCGCCACAAGGAGCACTGCTCACACTCAAGTTCGTCGATACAGCAGCGGGGGGCGACAGTGCAGAGGAGAACGAAGCACCCCTCTCCATCCCTTCCCACCCCCTCAAAAATGGCGGCGGAGGGCGATGGGGCAGAGGAGAACGAAGCACGCCTTTCGCCTCTCCATCGCCCCTCGCCCTGCGGCCTCCTTTCAGGTTGACTTACTCCGAGGTCGCAACAAGGAGCACAGCATGCTCAAGATTGCCGACATAGCGGCGGAGGGCTACATCCCGGAGGAAAACGCATATCCACACCCCTCCCACCCCACCCCTCCCACCCCTCCCACCCCCCACACCCCTTCCATCCCTCCCCACCCTCCCAGTTTGTTTTGCTCCAAGGTCGCAGCAGGGAGCATGGCATGCTTAAGTTTTGTGGACGTAGCAGAGTTTGGTTCTTGAGAATTCTAAAAAACCTAATTCAGCAGGGAGCACGGCACGCTCAAGTTTTGTGGTTGTAGCAGTGGAGAGCTACCGCACGGAAGAGACACCCACCGTTTCAAACCTCCTCGTCCCTTCTCACCGCTTCCCACCCCTCAGGTTGACTTTCTGCAAGGTCGCAACAGGGAGCACGGCGCGCTCAAGTTCGTCGACATAGCAGCGGAGGGCTGCGGAGGGCTACAGTGTTGACGAGACATCCGCCTCCTCGCCCCTTTCCACCCCTTTCCACCCCTCAGGTTGACTTCCTCCAAGGTCGCAACCAGCAGCACGGCACGCTCAAGTTCGTGGACATAGCGGCGGAGGGCTACAGTGCGGAGGAGAACGCGGGGGTGTCATACGATGCGGCGATGGGGCAGATCCACGGGATCTATAGAGATGGCACCGTGGTCACTGGGGTTGAGGTGGGTTCACTGGGGTAGAGATAGGTGTGAGTGTAGCTCCATCGGTGAGTGTGTTAACCATCATCCCCTATGAGGCGTGTGGTAAGGCGTGTGGTAAGGCGTGTGGTAAGGCGTGCGGTAAGGCGTGTGGTAAGGCGTGTGGTAAGGCGTGTGGTAAGGCGTGTGGTAAGGCGTGTGGTAAGGCGTGCGGTAAGGCGTGCGGTAAGGCGTGTGGTAAGGCGTGGGGTAAGGCGTGGGGTAAGGCGTGTGGTAAGGCGTGTGGTAAGGCGTGCGGTAAGGCGTGTGGTAAGGCGTGTGGTAAGGCGTGGGGTAAGGCGTGGGGTAAGGCGTGTGGTAAGGCGTGTGGTAAGGCGTGTGGTAAGGCGTGCGGTAAGGCGTGTGGTAAGGCGTGTGGTAAGGCGTGTGGTAAGGCGTGTGGTAAGGCGTGTGGTAAGGCGTGTGGGAAGGCGTGTGGGAAGGCGTGCGGTAAGGCGTGTGGTAAGGCGTGTGGTAAGGCGTGGGGTAAGGCGTGTGGTAAGGCGTGTGGTAAGGCGTGTGGTAAGGCGTGCGGTAAAGCGTGCGGTAAGGCGTGCGGTAAGGCGTGTGGTAAGGCGTGTGGTAAGGCGTGTGGTAAGGCGTGTGGGAAGGCGTGTGGTAAGGCGTGTGGTAAGGTGTGTGGTAAGGCGTGTGGGAAGGCGTGTGGTAAGGCGTGTGGTAAGGCGTGTGGTAAGGCTTGTAGTAAGGCATGTGGTAAGGCCTGTGGTAAGGCGTGTGGTAAGGTTGTGGTAAGGTATACTTGCCCGTCTAGGTGCGGAACCCATGCAATTCTGTTTTGAGACGTCTCGAAACGAATTTACTTTAACTGGGGTGGATGTGGGTGTGATTGTGTGGCAAGGTAACCTTGCGCGTCCACATGCGGTACCCTTAGGTGACTTTTGAGTCGACTCAGAAGTCACCTTTTGAGTGGACACAAAAGCCGCGTCCACATGCGGTACCCATGCCATGCCATGCACGTCTCTCTCTTTCCGTCTCTACTCGTTCCCTCACTGAGCGATCGCAGGCCTTTCGCAAGTACTATGAAGCTGTTGGTCTCGGGTGGGTGCATGCCATCACGGACGTCTCACCATAACGCTGAGCTCCAACACTACCAACACCCCCGCCTCTCCCTTTCCACAGGCTTTTCGCCAGTCCTATGGAGCTGTTGGGCCCAACAGCCTGTGAGGCTGTGGGGCTCGGATGGGTGTAAGTCATCATCAAGGGTTCACCATAACGCCGCTGAGTCACGCGCCTTCCGCCTGGCTGCCCCACTACCTACCATCACCCCCGCCCCTGCCTTTCCACAGGCCTTTCGCAAGTTCTACGAAGCTGTGGGGCTGGGATGGGTGTATGCAATCACCAAATTCCCTCCGGTAAACCACTAGTGACCCACCAATGACGCCAAGATTTCCTGCTCTCTGGTCTCTACCACCCTCGCTGCTCCTCTTCCTGCTACCCCCCCCCCCACCCCCCCCCCCCCCCCCCCCCCCCCCGCTCTACAGCCCCCCTCTCTCCCCTTCTCTTCCTCTTCCCCGTCTCCAGTATTGGCCCCGTTTGCTTCTCTCTGCATGCTCTTTGATTGATTCGTCTCCATTCCGATGCACAGTTCTCCCCTTTCGGTGGCAAGCCGCTAAGCCAGGAATACGTCGTCTGTTGAGGCGCCTCAAAAGTCGTTCTCACAAGCCGAGGAGTCTATTTTTGAGGTGCTTCAGAAATTGACTCCTCACGCGTCGTCTCTTGAGTCGACTCAAAAGTCACCTTCTTACAAGCCCCGCACTCTCTACGCCATATAACTCATCTGTCGGTGCTTCTTGGGTCGACTCCAAAATCACCAGCGGTAAGGAATGCGTTGCTTCTTACACGCCCTGTACTCTCTACACCACGTACAAGTCATCTCTCCTCCTGACCTTGCTACCCCTTGCTGTCCGTGCCGCTCCTTGCTGTCCGTGCCGCTCCTTGCTGTCCGTGCCGCTCCTTGCTGTCCGTGCCGCTCCTTGCTGTCCGTGCCGCTCCTTGCTGTCCGTGCCGCTCCTTGCTGTCCGTGCCGCTCCTTGCTGTCCGTGACCCCCCTTGTTGTCCGCGCCGCCCCTTGCTGTCCGTGCCGCCCCTTGCCGTCCGTGCCACCCCTTGCTGTCAATGCCGCCCCTTGCTGTCCGTGCCGCCCCTTGCTGTCCGTCCACCCCTGGCTGCCCATGCTACCCCTTGCCGTGGTGTGCATGTGTGTCAGGTCGGCGCTCTGGCAGATGGTGTCTACGAGCTGTGGGCCAAGTACCGCCTGCCTCTTTCGGGTACGTTTCGGCTAAATACCGCCTGCCTCTCGTAGGTAAGTTTGGGCTAAGTACCGCCTGCCTCTCTCAGGTAAGTGTGGGCTAAGTACCGCCTGCCTTTCTCAGGTAAGTATGTGCTGTGAGTTAAGGTGTGTGCAATCGCTTCTGGCTGCCCCCCCTCTTGTGTCCCCCCTGCATGGTGGCACACTTGTTGCCCCATATTTCCGCGAATGGGGGGGTTAGAGTGTGCAGACTGGCGCGGGCAATGATGTCCAGAAAGCGGTTGCACTTATGGTCCCTGCATGCATAGTTGTTGCATGTCTCATACTTGTGCGCGAGTGTTTCTGTGTATAAAGCATGGCGTTACTGTGCCGCACCTTGTTTCCTGCAGGCCGCCCGTCCCTGCAAGCAGTGATAGAGGAGCGTCGGCAAAACAAGGTGAGCCATTAGGATGTCTTGTACAGCTGCTGCCCTCAGTCACTTGTTATTTCCTCTTGCGCTAGCCCTCCTGTTTGTGCTGTGCACTCATTCACTGTGCATGATGATGCATCTCCTTTCTGCCGATCTCATCATTTGCAAACTAAGAAAAATCCCCTCCCCATCCTCAAATCGATGGGTTCAAGCACCACTTTTAACCCCTCATTTTTTCGCCCTCTATATGTACCCTCTTCGCAAATTCCCCAGCTTGGAGTTCAAGGATGTAAAGAAGAGGAAGACTGTGAAATCCAGTTTTAAAGTTCAGTCTTTGTAATTAATGTCAACATACACATTTATACATATGTGTAGGCTAGATAGATGTACTGGTTACTGTGAAGGGGATAACTCTACTCTTGTACATCTCTCTCCTTAGTCAACCCCTTTTTCTCTCGATAAACTTTCCTCTAGCCTAAAGCCCGATCTTGACATGGTTTCAGACAGGGCCTCAGATTTCAGGTAAGTTTCCCTGATTCAGGGTTTTTTCAGAGGTTTTTTGGGTACCAACCCTGATGCGCTAAGATTGTTTTTAGACACAACCCTGAAATTTCAGGGCTTTTTGTTTAGTGAACTCTGTTTGTACAACGTTGCTATTGTAGAGGTCCCTGTATCATCTGCCTAACGGGCAGCTACCCCGAATCCTGTAACAGCGTGATTTGGGGCCCTGCCATAATGACCGTATGTTTCCCCTGCTCCATGTGTGTTGGGGGGTTGTGTGAGGGCACTTGGCCCATAGCCAATTTTAGAACTAGCGTGTGCTGGGGGATTTGTGAGGGGAATTTTTTACCCTTTGCCACATTCAGGGCCCAACGTGTGCCTTGCGGCTTTGTGAGGGCGAGATTTCCTCCCGCCCCTGCAATTTTGCTCAGCTATCTGATTGGGTCGTTCGGCAAAATATGATTGGCTGAGGCTTCCTGAAAGTGTAACCGCAAATTTTGATGGGCTCGGCATCATCATGATTCCTGCGGGAATCCTCCCTCCCTCCTTCCCCACCCCCATTCCGTCCCGTCTGTGCCCTCCCCGAATGTCGTTCCGCCCATCTCCCAATTTCGTCAAATCAACGTAAATTTTTTAAGAAACACTGATAACTCAGCGGATTTTTTTTTTTGGAGCCCTGAAAAATCAGGGTAAACATGGGGGGGGGACCTTGAGCAATCAGGGTACCTCAAAACCAATCTGAGGCCCTGGTTTCATAGCAGGTCTGGGCCTCAGATTCGTTTTGGGGCACGCTGATCGCTTAGGGTCCCCCCCCCCTTGCCTCACTGTTTTTTCAGGCCTCGCAAAGAAACTTACGCTGATCAATCAAGGTGTTGTAAAAATTTTGCGCTGAGAAAACAGAGTTACCTACAAAAAACACGCTGTTCAACTAAACGCCCATTATGTCAAACATGTGTAGTTATCATGTTTGTATAGACTGTATAGGGTCACCTTCTAGAGAGTACAACATTTAGGTATATGTTTGTGTACTCTCTCTCTCTTATCATTAAAATTCTAGGTTTGATATGGTATCACGAGTAGGTTTCGACCCCCCCCACCTGCCGCTTCCGCTCCTCCCGTCGCGTCTCCTAGCCTCGCCTCGCCCCTCCTGAGCCCAGTCGCGACCCCTCCCCCTAGCCCCGTCGCGCCCCTTCCAGGGCCTCGTAGCGCCCCTCCAGGCCCCGTCGCGCCCCCCCTTCCAGGGCTTCGTAACGCCCCTCCAGGCCCCCGTCGCGCCCCTCCAGGGCTCTGTAGCGCCCCTCCAGGGCCCCGTCGCGCCCCCTAGCGCCCCTCCTGGGCCCCGTAGCGCCCCTCCAGGGCCCCGTCGCGCCCCTTCGCGCCCCTCCTGGGCCCCGTAGCGCCCCTCCAGGGCCCCGTCGCGCCCCTTAGCGCCCCTCCTGGCCCTTCGTCGCGCCCCTCCTGGGTTCCGTAGCGCCCCTCCTGGGCTTCGTAACGCCCCTCCCAGGCCCCGTCGCGCCCCTCCTGGGCTCCGTAGCGCCCCTACTGGGACCCGTCGCGCCCTCCCTGGGCCCTGTAGCGCCCCTCCTGGGCCCCGTCGTGCCCCTCCCAGGCCCCGTCGCGCCCCTCCTAGGCCCGTAGTGCCCCTCCTGGGCCCGTAGCGCCCCTCCTGGGCCCCCATTGCGCCCCTCCTGAGCCCCGCCGCGCCCCTCCTGGGCCCCCATTGCGCCCCTCCTGGGCCCGTAGCGCCCCTCCTGGGCCTGTTGCGCCCCTCCTGGGCCCTGCCGCGCTCCTCCCTGGGCCCCGTATCCACCCTCCTGGGCCCCGTCGCCCCTGCTCGGCCCCGTCGCCCCTGCTCGGCCCCGTCGCCCCAGCTCGGCCCTGTCGCAGCCTCTCGGCCTCGTGGCGCCCGCCCTGCCCCTGTCGCAGCTGCCCGGCCCCTGTCGCCCCTGCCCGGCCCCGTCGCGCCCGCCCGGCCCCGTCGACCCCGCCCGGCCCTGCGGTGTCCTGCCCGGCCCCGTCGCTGCCGCCCGGCCCTGTCGCTGTCGCCCGGCCTCGTAGCTGCCGCCCGGCCCTGTCGCTGCCGCCCGGCCTCGTAGCTGCCGCCCGGCCTTGTCGCTGCCGCCCGGCCCCGTCGCAGCCGCCCGGCCCCGTCCCAGCCGCCCGGCCTCGTCGCTGCCGCCCGGCCCCGTCGCAGCCGCCCGGCCCCTCGTCGCGCCTGCCCGGCCCCGTCGCGCCTGCCCGGCCCCGTCGCGCCTGCCCGGCCTCGACGTGCCTGCCCGGCCCCGTCGCGCCTGCCCGGCCCCGTCGCGCCTGCCCCGGCCCTCCATACTTCCTGGTACTGTCCCCCGTTCCCCGCACCACTTTGCACCCTCCTGCACTTTCCTGCCCCGCCTTGCACCGCATTGCACCTCACTGAACCGCACTGACCGCACTGCACCGCACTGGACCGCACTGCACCGCACTGCATCGCACTGCACCGCACTGGACCGCACTGCACCGCACTGCACAGCACTACACCGCACCCCACTGTTCTCCACTGCCCCTCATGGCTGCTGAGCTTCGTTTTGATGCTGAGGGTCAGCCTCTGGAGTTCGAGGCGTGGTTGGCTGACCTTCGCCGCCACCTCACTGGTCAGCGGCAGGACGGCCACCCGCTTTCTGCACACCTCGACGGTATGCTCCCCTGCCCTGACCCCCCTGCTGTGCTGCCCGCTGATCCCACGCCCGCTGAGCGCGAGTCCACTGCCGCCGCTGCCCTTGCCCGCTCTGTCTGGCTTTCCCGCGATGCCCTTGCTCAGCTCGCCATTAGCAATGCCCTCCCCCCCCTTGAGCGCCCTCGCTTTAGAACCATTTCTACCGCCCAGGCCTACCTCGATGCTGTCATCAAGCGCTATTCTACCCCTCCTGCTGCCTCAGTGGGTCGCCTGATCCTCCCCCTGCTCTTTCCTGACCTGGCGTCATTCCCCACTGTCTCTGACCTCGCTGCCCACCTGCGCTCGATAGATGAGGCCTGGCGCGCTGCCTGCACTGATGCACAGCTTAGAGTCCACCAGCCTCCCATGACCTCTACCCTCTACCTCCTTGCCACCCGCCTCCCTGACCGCCTTGCCGCCGCCCGCGACCAGTTCCTTAGCATCCACCCTGCTGCTCTCACCCTCACCGACTTTGTTGACACCCTGACTGCCATAGAGACTCGTCACCGCTCCATAGCCCAGGCGAGCGGTACAGTACCGGTCCCTATCTTTCAGGGTTGTGCCCCCGCTCCGTGTACCTTCTCCGACGGCTCTGTCGCTGTGGCTGAGACTGCTGCTGCAGTGCAGTCCCGCTCGGGGAAGGGCCGCCGCCCCAAGGTTGGGAGCGGCGGGGGTGGCGGGGGTGCGGGTGGGGGTAGTGGTGGAGGCGGGTCGTCCGGTGTCGGTGCGGACGTGGGGACCCTGCCCGGTCCAGCTGCCCCGCTGCCTCCACCGTTGCAGCAGCCGCAGCAGCAGCAGCCTCCGCAGCAGCCGCAGCAGCCGCCGCAGACGAGGCCGGCGAGTGCTCTCCCGCCTGGGTGGCCTGGAGCTGGTGGTGGTCGTGCGCGTGGTGGTGCCCCGGGTGGTGGTTCTGGAGGCGGGCCCTGTCAGTACCAGATCCAGACCGGTCCTCGCCGCGGCTTCGTTTGCGGTAAGATCGGTCATTCCACTCCTCGCTGTTTTCGTCGTCTGGACGACCTGTTCCGCCAGCGCTTTGGCCCGGCGCCCGACCTCCCGGACTGGCACAGCTTGCTTAGGCGTAGCATTCGGGTTTTTGACTTGGACATGGATGCCATTGTAGCAGCCTTGCATGTGATGTATGTCGATGACTCTAGTGTGCTTCCCTCTTATTACCCCGTGTTGCCTAGTGTAGCTGTGCCTAGCGTAGACTCCCCTGCTGCGTCAGGCGTAGGATCTCCTGCTTTGCTTAGCCTCGGTGCTTCCCCCGCTTCACTGTCGCCCCGCGCGACTGCTGCGCTTTCCTTCACCTTGGACTCTGGCGCCTCCCGGTGTTTCTTCCGCGACTCCACGACGCTGACGCCGCTGCTTGTTCCCGCTGCAGTTACTCTTGCTGACCCCTCCGGTGGTCCCGTCGTTGCCCGCAGTTCCACCTCCCTTCCCTGTCCGGCGGTTCCTTCAGGTTCGCTCACCGGTCTGCATATCCCCTCGTTCTCCAGGAACCTAGTTGGTGTCGGCTGCCTCCAGGACCTTGGCGTCACCACTACGTTCCCTGGTCACGAGCGGTATGCTGTCTGTACCGAGGCCGCCACTGGTGTCCCCCTTACCACTTTCCCCCGGGACCCGGTGTCCGGCCTGTTCACACTTGACACCGCGACGTCCCCGGCTGGGTCTTCCCCCCAGGTAGCTGCGTCCACCCAGGTTGCTGCTGCGTGCTCCTGTCGGTCCCTCACTCATCCGACTCTCCTTTGGCACCACCGCCTTGGTCACCCTGCACTCCCGCGTCTGCGTCACATGTCCCAGCACGGTCTCGTCCTTGGTCTCCCCGGTTCGTTCCCTGAGTTTCCCTCATCCCCCGCCCCACCGTGCACGCCTTGTGTCGAGGGCCGGCTCCGCCGTGCCCCTCACTCCTCCTCTTTTCCCCCTACCACCGCACCCCTGCAGACTCTGCACATGGACGTCTGGGGCCCAGCCCCGGTCCATGGGCCGCGTCGCGAGCGCTTCTTCCTAGTGCTTGTCGACGACTTCACACGTTACACCACCGTCTTTCCCCTGGAGCGGAAGGCCGACGTGCCTGACGTTCTCATCCCCTGGCTTGTCTCTACTCGTCTCCACCGCGGTCTCCCTGTCTTGCGCCTCCACTCCGACCGGGGTGGCGAGTTCGCCTCAGGTGTCCTTGGTCGCTTCTGTCGTGCGGAGGGCATCACCCAGACGTTTACCCTGCCGGACTCCCCGCAGCAGAATGGGGTCGCTGAGCGACGCATCGGTTTG